CTGCAATCAAGTTTGGTGCGGTTAACCTTGAGTTTGTATCTATTGTTTGCTCTTGTGTTGTTATGGTTGAAACTGAAGTATTCATTGACAGGTAGGACATTGCAATGTATGATTTTGTATACCATGCTTAGATCAGACCGATCTAACTTTTACTGTGATTGCAGAGAAGTCCAGCAGAGTCTGAAAGTTCCCGTGGGGAATGTTCAGCTAATTTCCTCTATTTAGCCCCCACCTGGCACCCATGTCCACAATTAGCCAATCCAATGGCACAAAGTTGTGATGAAAAGGACCGCGATGAACAGGCTGGAACTGGCTGGGAGAGGAGGCAGCCTGCTGGGCCCATTCCTCCCCCTCCCCTAATTCCCCAAGCGGTTATACAGCAAAAGGGAAAGCGTGCAACCCCCAAGATGCAGCCCCCTCTCCCTTGTAGAATGGCAGCCTTCCAGCAGGGAAGATTGCTGTATTATTTTCACAGCTGTATCCTGCCTAACAACCGGGGAAACATTTACTTCTGAGCCTCGTTTAAGGATGTGGTTAGGATCAGTGGTGGGATTCAAATTTTTTTAAGTCCCGGTTCTGTGGGCGTGGCTTGGTGGGCGTGGCAGGGGAAGGTTACTGCACAATCCCCATTCCCTCCCTACCCCACTAACCTGCTTTCCAGCTCTGTTCTCCTGTGCAGGGCAACTAAAGACGACCCAGCCAATCAGCTGGGGCTCAATGGGAGGCAGAGAATAGATGGGGGCAGGGCCAGACAGAGGTGATATTTGCCGGTTCTCTGAACTACTCAACATTTCTGCTACCGGTTCTCCAGAACTGGTCAGAACCTGCTGAATTCACCACCTCTGGTTAGGATCCTTAAATTCCTAAATCATCCCATGATAGCCCACAGAGATCCTATTTTTCCTCTGACATCTCCGATTGGTTGCTGCCTCCATCAAAGGAGATCCAGTCGCTAAGACAGTGTTTTTCCAAAGGTGGCAATTTTAAGAGGTGTGGACTTCGACTCCAAGACGACCACAGCCAGCATGGCTGGGCTGAAGAATTCTGGGCATTGAAGTCCAGACTTATATAGCCGCCAAGGTAGAGAGAAAGGCTGGGCTAAGGTGAGCAGAGTGCCACCTGGTGGAGATATCGGTCAGCTCACTTCACAGGCCGTACCATAGCAACGCTAGTTTGAGGAGGCAGATTGAGGGGGGGGGGGGGGGAAAGGGGGGGGTTAAGACCCCGAGGCACAAAAATAAATCTGAAATACCAACATTAAAAAAACAATAAAAAATAGAAAGGCCTCCAAATATTCCGCTCCACCCATTCTGAAGGAGGAATTAAACAAAAAAATACTAGAAATGACTCCCTGGTTGTATTTTTATATGCATACCAGTAAATCCATGCCAGTTCCCAAGCACCTGGATTTTGATCACGGGACCTCCAGTTGTTGTAAGTACGAGGATGAGCCACAGGTCACTTTTTCCAGTGCTGTTGTAACTTTGAACGGTTGCTAAACGAACGAATGCTTGTAAATCAAGGACTATCTTAATCGCTACCCATCTCATCATAACGTTGCAAAGGTTGAGACTGGCCTACACATATATAAACAATAGCAATAGCCAGGGGTGGGATACTACCAGTTCGCACCTATTCGCTAGAACCGGTTATAACATTCTAAGCAGTTCGGAGAACCGGTTGTTAGAAGAAATTACTGGCCTAATCCTGTAAGGAAGGCGGGAAGGAAACATTCTGGTGTTGCTTACAGAAACTGCCTCTCTGTTAACCCTTATTACATTCTTGGCAGGACTAGACTTCCTGTCTCTGGAACATCTCTGGAGTTTTTTTCCCCTCCTTTGCTGGTGCTTTGCTTGTGTGACCATTCAAAGTTACAATGGCACTGAAAAAAGTGACTTATGACCGTTTTTCACACTTACGACTGTTGCAGCATCCCCACAGTCATGAGAGGCCAGGCAAGGAGATGCGTGCCTCGATGTGAGTGATATTGAGTTGGCCACGCCCACCCAATAACATGACCACCAAGCCATGCTCACCCAGTCACATGACCACCAAGCCACACCCACCTCCTAAGCCACGCCCACAGAACCGGTTGTTAAAAAATTTTGAATTCCCCCCCCTGGCCATAGCACTTAAGACTTATATACCACTTCACAGTGCTTTTACAGCCCTCTCTGAGCGGTTTTACAAGTTAGCGTGTTGCCCCCCCCAACAATCTGGGTCCTCATTTTACCGACCTCAAAAGGATGGAAGGCCGAGTCAACCGTGAGCCGGTGAGAATCAAACTGCTGGCATTTGGCAGAATTGGCCTGCAATACTGCATTCTAACCACTGCGCCACCACGGCTCAAACAATGCAGACCATATGCAATAAATGCGTGCAATTGATGTACGCCACACATGCACGCCACAGGTGCGTGCCACGCCCAGGTGCGTGCCACATACAACTGAGAGTGCCAGTTGGACACTTGAAAACCAGTCTCTCCTCGTCCCCAGGTGAAGATCAGAAGCTGTAGGTCAGGGGTGTCCAATCTTGGCAACTTTAAGACTTGTGGACTTCAACTCCCAGAATCCCCCAGCTTAGCCATGCTCGGGCAACTTGCTAGCTGGGGAATTCTGGGAATTGGAGTCCGCAAGTCTTCAAGTTGCCAAGCTGCAAGGCATCCGGTGTCCAGCCCTCTCTCACCTTGTAGCAGGGAGCCAGAAGTTTCAAGCCGTGAGTAAGAACCTTTTCCTTGTAACACGTCACCAGGGTGAGCAGGTCAGGGAACGTCCTGGTTCCGTTCATGTAGAACCTCCCCTCGCCGTCTCTCAAGATCTTGTAGTGTCTGGTCAGGTTGCCATCGCGGACTGTCAAATTCAGGAAAGCAAATTTAAAACAAGACTATTATGGGGGGGGGGGTGGATTCAGAACCCCCCCCCTCTCTCTAAAGGCTTCGGTTGCTTACTGTCCCCCATAACGAAGAAGCAGTGATGGTATTCAGCAGGTTCTGACCAATTCTGGAGAACCGATAGCGGAAATTTTGAGTAGTTTGGAATACGACCTCTGACTGGCCCCGCCTCCGTTTATTCTCTGCCTCCCGAGTCCCAGCTGATTGGCTGGGTCTTCTTTTGTTACCCTGCACAGGAGAACAGAACTGGAAAGCAGGTTAGTGGGTGGGGAAGGACTGGAGATTTTGCAGTAGACTTCCCCTGCCACGCCTACCAAGCCATGCCCACCAAGCCACGCCCACAGAACCGGTAGTAAAAAGTTTTGAATCCCACCACTGGGAAGAAAGGATAAGATGCTGGCTTGCTGGGGGCTGCATTGTGGAAAAGAGCAAATAAGGTGATTTGCAGATATTTTTTTTTGCAATGGGTAGGGAAAGAAGACAGGATTTCAGGGGCTAAGCGATAAAGGGGATCCTGGAATAAAAGCGGATTATTTTAGGATCAGAGCATTTATGGCAACATCTAGCCAGCCCTGATTGATCGTAAATCAAACAAAGTCAGGTCAGATTTGGTTAATATTTGGATGGGAGACCATGAGGAAATCTTCTAGGCAGGGTTGCGAAATCAAAATGTGATATTCGAAGAAAGGGATGGCAAACCACTCCAATCCTATTGCCCAAGTAAACAAGGGCGTGTGTTCACGAAGCCATCCTGTGCCTTTGTTTACCTTTGGGAAATTGGCAAGGAGACCCAGAAATACCTATTGAAAATGCTTCCAATTCTTGCTCAGTTTGAATTGCCTTGTAGAATAGGAATGGAAAGAAAAAGAGAGGGAGAGAGGGAGAGGGAGAGAGAGAGAGAAAGAAAGAGAAAGAAAAAGAAAGAAAGAAAGAAAGAAAGAAAGAAAGAAAGAAAGAAAGAAA